TCTTCACTCTGAGTGCCTGTAAATTCAGAAGCAATTTAGAATTGCACTAAACAAACACGGTTTTTCTTCTCCTAACACTCAATCATAGATGGCCACTGAATGCAAGTATTCCATCTCCAATTATGCTTCAAATCGAAACATTCTGCCCAGCTGCAAAATCCATCTGAACTCCTCTGCCTTATCACACGGACATGTGGCTTTCTGCACTTTAGAGAGCAATTGGAGGCAACATAAATACAGTGGTTGAGGAATCACAGCATTGCAAACACAAACAGGGCTTTGCCACCTAGCTCGCCTCACTGGCATAAGATTTACTACGGAGTAATTACTCATGTCGATTCTCCTGGGATATTGCCTACATATAAAAAGGGAGATCAGCAATTCAGACCCATGATTGGGGCCAGAATTCTGTCTGCTTTACTTCCACTTGCTCCAACTATGTAAAAACATAAGTGACTACTCATGGAAATTGCAACATTCACAGAGAACACCATGTAGGGTCAGCACTAAGCTCTTTTTTAACAAAGCGTAACCCTGTCACAAATCCACAGTCACTGTGGTCTGCACTTCAGAATAGCCATGAGGAAAAACTCTGATGCCCAGCACCTCATCTAATAGATGCTCCATTTGCTGTTTGCAGCACAGGGCCAACAACACAGATAAAATCAGAACTGAAATTACACTGGTGCAAACACAAGAAAACACTCAATTAGACAGAAGAATAACTCTCTCTAAATACGTTTATGTTCATACATATATTTTTTATTTTTAGAAAAATGTTTTTCATTTAGATGTTCCTACTCAGTAATGAAAATCAGACCCAGTTCTTTATAGCCATCACTTGCTCCTTTTTTATTTTGCCTCTTTCCTGCCTGAGACATGATGTTTTTGGGGATGCAAAAGGGGGAGACTAAGTCATAAGACCAGACAAGATAAAACACAGCCTAGTAGGAGTTAGTAGGAACAGCATCCTGTTAGATTGGAGCTTTCTTCTAACTCTTTTCTTCCTATGAAAGCAATGCTTTATCCTCTCCTCCTCCATTCTGAAAGTCCTCATCATTCTTGAAGAAAAAGCAAGAAGCTGATAGTCCTACAGCAGCTGAAACCGTTCTTCTTCTAGAGGCAGGGAAATAGAGAAGATAACCAATCAGAGTTATTTTACAGGGCAGAGAAGAGGCAGATACTGAACCTTGTAGGTTAGGGGACAGCATTTAGCCTCAGCTGAGGTCACAAGAATTGGCAAAACTGAGCTCTCTTGAGTCTGACATCTCAGTTCTAAGTTTTATCACTAGGACAATCTTTTTTTTTTTTTTTTAACTTAAAGAATTGCATGTTAAAAACATGAAGGATAACAGAACAGATCCAGGTTTTGCTGTAGTTGATGTTAATCAGAAAAATATTACAGAGATACTTGCTGTGGTTATGGGTTGGGTGCAGAAAAGAATGGGTGAGGTTTCTTGGCCTGAGATATGCAGGAGGTGGGATTAGATGAAGATAATGATATCACAGCCCTCTCTTCTGACCTTAAGGCCAGATGGCTGCAGACAAGCCAGTTTTATAATTCTCTCTACTGAATAGATACAAGTATGCTTTGGCTTATTGTGGTACCTGTTCATTTTTCACTCTAAAATATCTGCCTTCTGCCAGTGGATTTCCTGTGCCTTTCATTCTTGCCATAAGTAGGGACTAAGGCAATGATTCCATTTCTCTTGCTGGTCTACAGCTTATACTTGCAGTCTTCAGCCTGCTTCATAGACAAGACTGCCATGTGACTGTAAGATGAAGAACTCACAATGGGCCAGCCTGCTCAACTGAGCCCCTGGTTACTCCAATACAAAACAGGGATGACTATTCAACACCTCTGTAGATGACACAGAGATATTCGGGTTCTTTAAAGAAGTCATTAAAGGTTAAATAACTGATTTCCAGTACACAGGTCTGACTGGGCTCACAGCTTCTCTCTGCCTCGAATTATCCAGACCTGGCTTTCTACTTCTACCTCACATATACATTAAATAAGTTAGAAATGTCTTGAAAAAGATAGTGGAGTAAAACTGGATTATAGAACTTCTAAATTGCTATCTAGTGGCTGATGGTTGGAAGAAAAAAGCTCTGCTTATGGCACTGAACAAGGACAAGAACATGTTTTGGGTTCCATCTGCTCTACTTGTTGAGTTCCCTCCTTCCTGAAGGCAGAGTTTGATACTGCTCCATGCAGTCCCCGCAGGATGCTCTGGCAGGCTCTCCCTTACAAAATTTGTTCTGTGTTTGTGATTTGGACACTAGAACATGCTGGTTAATAGTCACACAGCATTGCTGAAGTACATTTCTGGGCAGAAGTCAGTAACTGTCAGAATACTCTATTTTCCCCTTTGCTCTGGTTATTAATGCTCATTATCTTCAGAGCTTGTAACAATGCTTATGGCCTTTTTCTGGCAAAAACATTGCACAGCTGTATAATCTATTAAGATTTGCTGATTTGAAACTTACAGAACATCATTCCTTGCAATTATCATAGCAGGACTCTGTATTTAGCTGTCACAGAAACAATATTTGTATGAGAACTAACACATAAAAGACAAAAAGGGCTAGGTTTGAAAAGTTAGTGCTGCAGTTAGTGCTTACTCTCCCTTACATTCAAGAAATAGCTGGAGCTGAGCTTTCCAGAATCATCCTCTCCAAGTTTTAAAAACAAAGCAGCAGAATCCCCTCAAAATGTACAGTTTGTTTTGGAAATAACAAAACTCTAAAAGTTAATTCCTTGTGTTATTTATTTATTTCCTGAATTTTGAGCAGCTACGGGTCTCACATGCGATCTTCTATCTCTAAACATGCAGATGTTTTTAGAAAACAACAAAACAGTGATTCCCTCATAATCCCAATAGCCCTTGAGTTTTAAGAGAGTGCCAAACAGTGCAAGTGGTCCGCAAACTGAACTGTCAACAGCAAACCTGATACAAATCAGAACAGAAAATATAACAGAACTGACAACAAAGCACCTAAAATATATATCATACGTCAACAAGGCTGTGCATGCATACATCTATATCTATTCACCTACAGGTAGATACGTAGATATGTTATGTTTATATCTGTCTATATCATATATATATATATCCTATATTCCTATGATAATTCTATGCATGTGTATTTATTGAATTTTAGACATGTAGATAGACATCAAATACATATATATCATGTACTGTTATGATTATGTAACTATATATACACTTTTTAATTTAGTTATACGTAATGCAGACTATTGTTCTATTAAATATAAAATAATATATAATTGATCTTATCTATTTTGTTATATATGTATATATCTTAGTTAAGTCAACATTTAAGATATGTAATTAAAATTATTTTAGAGAAGTACAGTGACATGCAGAAATCCAAGGCAAGCTGAGTAAGGGAGACACTATTTTAATGCAGAACATTTATCGGTGAGGTATTTATGCACCTCACCTCAGAATTTCAGAACAGATCTCAAGGCTTTCAGATCTCAAATCATAGCTACAAGACAGCCTCCCCTTTACTCTGCTTACACAGACTTTTGGCCTTTTTTGAAAATGGAGGCAGGCATCCATTTCAGAATGAATAAATACTTCAATTGTATCAGTAACAGAGATGTCCTGTGAGCAGAGCACAGCACAAATACCACAAGTTCCTGCTCCTTTCAATGCTTTTTGATCCAAACTGAGTAACGTAGCAGTGCATGGTAGAAAGTTCTGAAGCAATAAACCCCTTTGCCAGCAACAAATACAGCTTCCCAACACTGTGAAACCCCAGCTGTGTGGAGTTGTAAAGTGCTTGTTGTTAGAATCATATAAACATGTCCATGTTATATGGACAGCCTGCTATCACTTGATCCAAATTTACTGACTAGCTGCTGCAGGCTTGAATGGCCCTTCAGATTGACAAAGACACTGTAAAAGGCTCCTCGGTGTCTAAGATCAAACTAGAACAGATAATAAAGTGCATCATCTTCCAGATGCACTGCAACTGAACAGCAAATTCTTGCTTCCAGCTCTGCTCATGCATTATTTACCTTTGCTGCTGTAAAATCCATTGTCTTTACAGGAAATCACTAATCTCATCCTCAGTCCATCTGTTGGGAGGCTTTTTGCAGCCCCCTCCACCCTCCCTCCAGTGAGGGTAAACTCTCAGTTTGGGATTGTTCGTTTTTTTTCCATCTTTCTCAGGTATCTTTGAGTTAACATCTTACATAAAGACAGAATCTAGATAAAGCCTATGGGGCTGTTTTGCTCTTAAATTTTGTGCAATTTGTAATAAAGTTGACTGTCAGCCAGCCTTACCCACTTAGAGCCTAACATAAATATGGGCACTATCAGGCACATTGTCACTAATGGGATTCAGTTACATGTATGTCTGCATTTAGACTTAACTCAGGCTTTTATCTGTTCCCATACAAAGACCTGTGCCCTGAACTTTGACTTGCTGTTGATGCTTAAGCATTTTGTATGCTTTTATCAGCAAATACACCTGCCTCAATGTCCAGTCCTGTTTCACTGAACCACCAAATAATTTCATATTCAGATGATCCTGTACATCTTATGAAGGGGACACACACCCTCAGTGATGTTCAGGAAATCCACTCTCCCAACACATTGTTACATTCACCACCTGACAGAAATACACTTTATTAAATACCTGACATGTCTGAGCTATTATGGTAGAAGCAAATTGGTTTTCATCAGACTGGAAAGACACTACCTTCCTCAGAGTGAGCTGGATACCTTCCAAGGTACTGCAGGTGCTTGTAGAAGCTCCAAGAATTGCCTTGGGAGTCTGCAGAAAGCATGGGTGTGTCATTCCAGGTGTGCTTACTTGGGAACTGAACCAGAAAAAGATATTAGTCTGCCTAACCCTCGAGCTTCTTCTGCTTTGGATCTATTTCCTGAATCTTACTTCTGAGAACAGTGTTTGAGTAACGTCAAAAATACTAAGATAGAAAAACTTGAAGGCTTTCCTCTTACCAGCTGAATCTGCTGCAGATGTTCCACCACTGGTCAGGTCCTCAGTATTAATTGATTGTAGATCTGTGTAAGAGGGACCAATGCTGGGGCTGCTGGTGTCCTCCGAGTTGGTTGTCCAGCTGCTCTCTGATGCATGGGCTCGCCTCTCCAAAGAGCTGGAGAAGGGGGAAGTCCAGCTGGGTGCCTTTGGTGGAGACACTGGGCACAGGAAACAAACAGGCACCAGTGAGATTTGCAGGGCAATCACCCAGAAGCAGATGATCACAGCTATTCCAAAAGTACACTACAGGACCCTGTTGAGACTCTGTAAATATAAATTCCAACAACCACAGCAACACGGTTATTTTTTAACAACACACAGCAACTTAAGTAGCGCCTGGCACTGTTACCTTCCATTGTGTGCCTTGCACTCCACACTGCTGGCAGCTGCTGGCTTTCCTGTTGTTCAAGCATTGTAGAAGCAGCAGTGTTACCGAGCAGTTAGATTTCATGTTTCTCTCACTGCTGAACAGATTTGAGTACCTGTGTTGTGCAACACAGTGGAGTTCTTAAGAGTATGAAAAGTTGTTTTGTTATATTTAGTTAAGCATCTGCATCAGTGACGCATGCACAAATGTAGCAGTCATCTTAAGAAAGATGACTTAAGAAAGTCCCATGTGGGACTAGCACATACCTATTGATGTGAATTAGAAATGGCCTTTGTTTTCTGAATATGCAGAATGAAGTGCCCTGATGTGAATTAACTTCATAATATTTCTGTTCAGTTTAGGCCAAAATCTCATTCTACTCACTTGCCAGAAGTTACACTTCAAAGAGTAAGCTATGCTAACCATCATCTCATGTTGATTAAACAGGCATATATGTCCAATACTATGAATGTGTTTTGTGAACTATCTGCCCAGCATATCACTCAGATGTTAGGAACAATGGATGACTACAGGGAGGAGGAAAAAAAAAGCATTAAAAATTCTTTCTATACTTAGGAAAAGTGCATAGATAGAGACAAATTCTATTTTAATCTCAGTATAGTAACTGTTCTCTAAGTTAGTAAATTTATGTTTATCTTTTAAATTAACAAGATGAAAGTGCATTCAAAAACAGCATTTATAGAACTAAGTGATACATACATTCACATCTCAGCATGTAATACATAACCAACTTTTATGAGGCTGAGAAACACTTTGGAAGAAAACTGCAAATTAATGTTCCAGAGGATTTCTCTCCCTCTGCTCTATAAAAACAGTGTGATGGGACACCATCTTCTTATGGAAACATACATTTGCTGTGTGCATTGAGAGGCTATGCAAACAGTGCTTGTAGGCTTACCAGCTCAGAAGTGCAAATTTATTTTATGTAGCTGTGCTATTACCTTTAGGTAAGCAAGCAGTAATCTATTTGTATTTGTACAGCTGTGATCCTACATGCTGAGCTGCTTTGGAGTAGCAGAAAAGGAGCCGAGAGCTGGGAGGTGTCTCCTTATCACACACATTGACAGTTATGTTACAGCAACACAACCAAAAAATCCCCACTTCTCCATCCAGCAGTTCTGCACCATGCTGATGTCTGCGAAGACGCAGTGCCAATTACATGACTACAGGCTGCCTCAGCCCTTCTGTTAAATATCCTTTGAGGTATCTGAAGAGTCAACCCCAAAACTTCACCTGAAGTGGCTTTGATGGACAGAATTCTTCATGTGGACACAGCAGACGAGCTTAAAATCTGATGTCAATATGCAAACCTGTAGCAAGGGTCATTTTATTTTTTAAAGTGAGTTTTATAAAAAGGATCTTATACGTAAATTTGCAGTGATAATTTTTACTTTTTTTTTTAACATATGAGATACATATAAGATTTGATAATTCATATACTTATGTAATAATAACAATCTTTTTATTAATTTGTTTTCTAAAAACAAGTGTTGCCTAATGAAGAAGACTAACTGGAACATCACTGCAGAAAACTTTGATATATTAATTTCACGATTTGTACCACTTTGGAAGACAACCTTTTTTTTTCCCAAGAAAGTGTATTTTATAGCAACCACAGAGAGATTTTACCATAATAGGCATTCTTTAGAGCCTTACTACAGCCAAATTCCACCTACAATTGTCCTGGGTTCCCAACCTTGGAACTGGAAAAAATTTCCACATACTGAATCAAACAACTATCAATCTCAGAAAGTGAGATAAGCTGAAGTAAATATCCACATGTTTAGGCTTCTCTTCAATGCTCCTGCTACTCTCCAGCCTCTTGAATTACTGAAACAATTCCTAAATGGTGTAGGTGTTTTTCCTATTAATTTGGAATTCAGTCAATGCTAGTTGATGCAGAGGTAGCACCATCCAGTTACAGCAATTCTCAGAAATTTGTTATTGCAGACCAGTTAGCAGATCTGTTATTAAGACCAGTGCCAAAACTGTCACTAAATTACAAATCCCACAGCATATGAAAAATCACATCATTGTTTCCTGAAGTGATAAATGTTTCCTTCCATTTGCATTTTACTTTTCTTGATCCATTTGTTCCTAATACATTGGCTTGGCTTTCAGTACTAATCTACTAATCAGTAGATTTACTTTTAAGCATTAGTTCCTTTTTGATGCTTTGAGAATGTACTCCTTGACTCTTGCACTGTATTCCAATAAAAATTGTTAGCATCAGTGCTGTTTCCCTTCCTATCCATTCTACACAGGATCTCAGATTTTCTTGATTTTAGGACAGTAACAGTTTGTCTAGATTTCAGTTGTTGATCTTGTGTTGTGTGTACTTTCTATTTTCAGACAGAACAGCACAAAATGATTAAATTGAGATGTGCCTTACTGAGGGACAGTCTCACAAGGGACATTCCGCAAGTCCAGCTTGAGCAATTTAAAACCATGGAGACAAAGCTCTTGGGAAGGAGTGGGGGGATGGAGAAGATGATTGACAGATCTTGCCTTGCTCTAATTTTGGTGCTCTGCCAAATTTCTAATTGAATTCAAGACTGCAGCTAACACCAATAGAATATGAGATTGCCAACTGAAGGCCTGCTGTAGAACAAATGCAAATGTTTGTCACCAGCTGGCTGTGATCATTTGCTGATTACGTAATGTTTGTGATAGGAGCATTTGGGTGATTCTAGAATCCCAGTTTTCATTTTTGCTGTATGAGTTTGTCGAGCCTGACTAGCTAGAGAATAATTACGAGAAAAATCAGATTTCTTTTTTTTCCAGCAAAAGGAAGATGTGGAAGAAAGAAGAGAAAAGCACAATGCATCATTTCTGTGACTAAATATTTCTACGGCCTCAACTCAAGGGCTACTGTTTCCCAGGGAGAAAGCCACATTGATTTTGCAGCTGCCATTTGTCTACGCGTGAGCCTGAAAGGCAGACATACACTGAAAGAAGGATTTTGCTAAGCATTTATTCTGCCTGAACATGGTTGAAAGATTAACAGAAATGTCATAAATGAATATAGTGTGAGCCTTACAGTGGACATAATGTTCTTATCATTTCTGTATCTCACATTTTAAACTTTCTTCTACTTTTTATATTCTTCATCCATGCTTTCAGTGCTGTTTCTTGCCCCTAATTTCTGTTCCCTTGATAATGTCACTTTTGCCAAAACAAGGGTCCAGCATTATAGCTTGCTTTTCTTTTAAACATACTATCTACAGGATAACTACCATGTGGCAGCTGTATTTTAAATTAGTGGTTTTTTAGATGGTGAGCACCTTGGGACAAAGGTTCACTTTCTGAGGAACACGTGCAGCAATACGATGGCACTGAGGTCAGGAAGTAGCACATTCCTCCCCCAGGACCTGCCCTCTGTTTTCAGGACACTCATTTTGTAAGCCATTTTCAAAATGTTTTTCCACGCAGCCTGGCTGTTTCTCTGGTTAACTGTCCAATCAGCTGACCAGATGCTTCAATGTGGAGAGACAAACAGATGATTTCCTCAGTGCTAGAGCCCTGACAGGAGCAGAGCTGCAGATGCTGAGGCTTCAGGACAAGGCAGTTCACAGCTGCCAACACAGGAAACAGGTTTCAAACACCTCCATCCTCCTCACACCAATCTGTCTGCTGATAGTTGGCATTTATCTCCACCCCCCTCCTCCACTGGCTATTGGCTATTGTATTCATGTGGGCTGTTTGCTGCTGGAAATGAACAATTGCTGTCACTGCCACCAGCTTTCCAAAGAGCATGTCAGTGTGCCGTGCTTGTAACAGAAAGATTCTGGCCTTGCTGCCACCCACTGAAAAAAAGATGTGACCTGCAAATTAATTGGGAACAAAGCTGAAGCTTATCGTACATCTTGCTGTCAAAGCCCCCTCAGAGCAGACAGTCAGAGACAAAGAGCTGTCATCTCCTCTGCGGTGTGACCTTCCTTCACTGGCTGTCAGCTGTGCTGGCTGGGCCTCTTAAAAGATGAGGTCCAGAGCAGGAGTGGAATTAGCTGATAAATATGGATTTTAAAATAAGGTTATGCATATCACCTCTTCTTAGAGAAAGTCTCCCTAGGCTTCCCATGCAGTTAATAATGAAACACTGCCTCCCACACAGTGACTACAGAGAGTAACAAAGCAAGGCTCCTGCTATGCCTGTCAGGGGAACCATCCTCCCCTATTAATCTCAGTTTGATGCTCAGTGTTGGAGTGTATTAATATTCCTTCATTTAGGCCAAGCACTAGAAGGGCAACAATGGGTGTGCTCCTTCTTCAAAAACAGCTGTGTTTTTTGACAGTCTTCCTGGACCACCTCTTCTAGATTTCCAAGGGCTTTGCCTATGATCTGTGTACTGTGACTTCAGTACAAACCATGAGGCACTGCTCTTGCTAAGCACGGACCTTGAAACCGGGCCACGTTCCTGTAAGTACAGGAAAACAAGTAACACATGATTAAATTAGCTTTATGGAAGTTTTTTGTTGTTGTTGTTAAGGCAAGCTTTATTTAGACTGAGCAAAGGTTTTTTCTTTTTTAATAAGAAGGTGAACTTAAGGTTTTCCAGTCAACAAGGATGCCACAGGAGGAAGGAAATGTGGTTTAATAGCAACCAACAGATCCATTTAAAAAAGTATGCATCCGTATGTATCTGAATGAATAAAAATAAGAGAGAGTAGGAGAGTTTGTATTTCTTTCACAATAAACTATTTTACCTTATCATGAAGTTAGTTAACAAAGAGGTAAAGCAACTCAGTTTTATGGATTTACAGTTACGGGTGTTATTGTTTCTGTTTTTGTCACCTGGATCTGTAAATATTTACAATTAAGACCAATCAAGAAATAAACATAAAAATGTCTCATATGGACCTTAGGAGAAAAATCATTGCCTGAATATTCCCCCACATCTCCTGCACAAAGGTGGGACTGCTGTCTCAAGTGGACTAGCTGACAAGACCCATATAAAGAATAGATGGAAAACAAAAAACTCAAATCCCAACACAAAGTTGACAGTCCGAGCAGTGCTATATATACGGCAGAGAGCATTTGGTGGACTCAGTGAACAGAAAACCATAACTTTTAAACTACTTTTGTAACATACTTTTGTATGCAAGTGCAGTTGTTAAGAGAATATCTCACCTTAAACAAGTAGTCAACTAATGTTTTCCTTGGACAATTACTCAATAGTCTCATCTAAGAAGGGACAGAAGTGTGTTAATACAGAAAAGCTGGAATCTCATACAGTTCTATCAGTTAGCACAAGCTAAGTAGGTAAGCCAGAGGCTTTGAATGCATTTTTGAGGTATGTCAGAAAGAGCTTTTGCATTGGAGCAAAATCACGCGCAGTCCTGGAGTGAGGATCAGTTTCTGTCATCTCTGTAAATTTCAAGCTGCTCAAACATTAAAAGGAAGCAAAAAGAACTGCATGTTAGCTATTGGTAATTCCAAGCTTCTGGCAAAAGCGATGTGGAGATTATGAGAGGATAAAGACAACAAGCAATCACCATTCTTCCAGTTCCAGTTTACAGGGGCAAACATAGCTCAGTTTCCTTTCAGATGGCTGTTCATAACGTGACTACTATAAACCCCACTATGTTGTTTCTCCATAAATATATGTTGGTATTCTCCAAGATTGAATGAATCACAAGAAATTTTTTTGCTTTCTTTCAAATATATATGTGACACATTAAGATTATGCTGCTAGGTCAATCCAGAACAATATTGTAAACCCTTTTGGTTACTCTGATGACATGAATTGAGTTAAAATACAGTACAAACTAATCAAAATTAAGCCTATGAGAAACCAAAGAACAAGGAAAATATTTGGCAGCTCTCACTGTATTTTGTTAAATTACTGGAGTGGATTTTTTCATGCATTTGCCTCACCTGCCTGTGGATGAATTGGTGGAGCACTAGCCCATGGTGCATCCTCAAACTGAACCCAAGCTCTGATAGATGACAGTAGATCAGCTTTGGGACACACGTGGTTCCCAAGCACTGTAGAATCTTCCTTTGGCTTGTCACCTGAATTGTCTGGCTCTGTGTGCAAGAGGTCCTGAAATTCCCCATCCACATTGTGGTTCTCTTCTGAGGAAGTATCTGAAGAAGAAAAACATTTTTCCAGAGGTTCCTCAGTGCTACCTAAAATAGACACAAAAGAGAAAGATTGGTAAGAACTACAATTACTTCACTATTTTTATTGAAATCTCTAAAATTTGCTATTAAACATACACAGATTTTTTTTCCTTCACTTAATAAAATTTTTAACCTAACAAAATTTTTAGCGTAACACAGGGCTTAATTTTGTACTTAAGTGTAACAGGTAAGACTTCTTGCACGTCCAAGGATGGATTCAAACCTTGGAATGGATCTGTGCTGAGAGCTGGGAAAGCACCTAACATTTTTGGCCCAAATTCTCCTATTATACTGGGGTAATAAAGCACAACTCAACCTTTGCACATACCACTTCCATTTAGAAGGCAGGATCTACAGCACCATGCGGTACAATGGTATGCTACATGACACTGCATATATGACAGTATAATTCAAAACAAAAAGACTTAAAGGGTTCAAAGAAAATCAGAGTTCTCTTACTTTGTGGCTTAACAGGGTGGAGCAGCTCATCGGTGAAGGACACCCACTCAGACTGGTGGGAGGCAATGACACTAGTCAGAGACGTCATATTAGCAGCGGGCTACTCATCTTCACTCAGTTGTTATAAGAAGGAAGCAGAATAGGAGAGAGGCACAGTGAAGATGAACCAGTAGAGGGAAACACATTTTTTGTGCTTTCTTTTCAAATGCTGTTAAGAAAAGATTAAGTCATAACTTTTAGATGATTAAACTCAAAAACAATTGCTACTTTTTTAATAGTACAGACTATTAAGACACATTATTTACCTCAGGCACAGTAATACCAAAATGCTGCAACCCTTGAGACAGGAATGTCACTTCTGCCAAGAGGAGGGCTATACTTGAGCAACTCCCTGATTAAAGCATCTGAGCATCTTCAAACATCCTCATGTTAAAACAGCTCATCATAAAAACTCAGGGAACTGCCTCTTTTAAACCCAGTAAGAAACGTTACGAGGGAATTCTCCCTAGTCTGGCAGATTTTCGTTATGATGCAACTTAATCCCAGTTCCAACATACTGTCACATTCTTGTTGCACAAAATCTGATCCTCCTCAAGAACTAGCGATAATCCCCAATCTCATTATTGATAGCATTTATGTAGCCAGTTATGGAACTGGGATGGGTTGCTCATGATCGTCTTTGCAGTCAGGGCATGAAAGGATGTCCACTCCTTTAGCTGCACTTCCAATTCTTTGCTTGACTGGAATGTTATATTTTAAGTTTAAAACACGGTGTCTTAAATCATGTCTGGAGTTAAGCATGATTTTACTGCAACCCAGCAAATACTTCTACAGAAGTAGCAACATTAATTAGGATGTACTCCAATGGGACGTACCCCACGCAGATCTCAGAATCTTCCAGAGAGGATAGGATACTGCCAAGGGTGCTTGACTTTTGGCTAATAGGTGGGAAGTCAGAGCTGGGGAGTGAAATTCTCCTTTTACAAACACCCATGACTGCTTCAGATATGCAGGCTACTTCAAAACTCTCAGACTAGTGACTGTGTCTAGGAAAGACTGCGAGTTCTGCCCTTAATCATCTCAAGTATTGAAGTCCTTGTTGCTATGATACGTGAGTGCTTCGGAATCCTAAAACACAGACTTGGCTATTTTAAAGGGCTTTAAGAGGCATCTCTTTGCCTGCTGTCTCTCACCTAACTTATTTTATTTTAGTGAAACTTCATGTTGTTGAACAAGAACAAACACTGAGATTTTTTCTTATTCTAAACAGTGTCTAGGCCCAAAAAACAGAGCAGTAGTTAAATGCATTGACTCTTACAGCATTTTCTACAGGAAGTAGGCCATTCCATGATTATTCTATTTAGGGCCTCAAAGTTATCGTACTAGTAAAGACTCATCAGCACATAAGAGTTGCTCAAACAGCTGAAGAATTCTGAAACCTGAAAGTCACAGAATAGTCTGACACCTGACAGAGAGATTTCATGGGTTATTGTTCATTGTCTCAAACTGAAAACTTGACCTACCAAAGCAGAAATTGAACATGAAAGACAGTTTCCTATAAACACAAAGAAGGGTTCCTCAAGATGGAATGCTGATGGATAAGGACAATTTGATAGAAGGCAGGACTCCTTTCATTACAAACATTCCAGACTTTATGCCCAACCCCCCATCATTCCCTAATGTTGGGAAAACAGCCTGTATGTGAGCTCCAGCCTAGCTCTCATCCACTCCCATGGCAGGAGCTCTGCATTCACAGATTTGCAAAATGGTTGTGGTTGGCAGTGGGTTCATCTGGTCTCAATCCTGAACATTCTCTAGGCTGAACAGTCCCAGTTCTCTCAGCCTCTCCTAATAGAAGAGCTCTTTCCAGTACATCCATATCTCTTGTACAAGGGCCCAGAACTGGACACAGTACTTGAAATGCAGCCTCAACAGCGCTGAGCAAAGCAGAAGGGTCACCATCCCAACTTTCTTTTGCAACACTTTGCCTAATACAGCCAAAAACACCATTAGCCTTCCAAGCAGCAGAAGCACGTTGCTGGCTCCTGTTCAATGTGGTGTCCACCAGGACTCCCAGATGCTTTACTGCAGAGTTGTTTCCCAGTTGTGTGATACCCAGGATGTCATGGGGCCTGAGGTTCATTCATGTGGTGTGGGCAAATATATTTGCCCGCTTTGCACAGAAATGATTTTGGGTGCTATTAATAGAAATTGCAAAGCTAACAATAGAAGAAATTTGTCATTGCCAAAGCTAACAAAGAAAAAAATGAATGATCTGATATTTTGAGTCCCAGGGACTCCATATGAGGGAAGGAGTAGATGACCTTCCCAACTTGTTTTTTCTCAAGTGACCACTTAGGCTGGATTTTTTGTTTGTTTATTTGGTTTTAGCTTGTTTAACTCACTGTAACAAGACATCTTTTCCTAAACAACTGAATACTCCTTTCTCCTGGAAAAGCCTGGACTGAAGCATGAAATCACAGGAAATAATACAGGAAAAGAGTTTATTTTGTTCTTAATACACACAGACACCAGTAGAACTCTTTTTTTTTTTTTTTTTTTTTTTTAAATGTCAAATGAAAATAGCTTCAAGAAGGCAAGAAAGCAAACTCTTTCAGCTATGTACGTATGTGAGAGAATTACACCATTATTTTAGTACAAATTCGCTCTTTTATTCTACTGCCCTGGTACAAGCATTCTGTCTAAATCCACTCAAAGGTACTTTACCGTATAATATCAGGTAGAAGCTAGATTTGTTCTGTTTGGTCTGTTCTGGTTTCACTGCTGAATTTTTTCAAGGTGCCCTGTTGTGTCAGCACCACAGAACCCTTCAATTACAGCAGAAGAAATGAGGTCCCCCAGCCTCAGATCCAGGTCAAGCTAATGGATGTGCCTTTAGGTCTTCACACCCAACAGACTATTACAAAGCCCGTCATTACATATTGCAATTATACAGCTTCCCCACTGCTAGAATTTTCTACAGGCTTCTCAGTCTGGTATCTGAAGGCAGTTGTATTGGTGTACCAAAGTTATCACAGCTTTTAGATAAGCAGCCTGAAACTGCCAAGTAGCCTGAGTAGATTGCAGTGTCAAAGATTTCCAGAGCAGAGGCATTTTAAGGATGAATGTTAGGATGAAAAAAAAAAAAAAAAGAAGTTTGGGTTCTCTCAGCTTTCACAAGAAACCTCTAATCCCATCACCTGACCAAAATGCCTCTAACAGAATTATGAGTAACGTACAGCTAACTTCCACATAGACTATGTGGAAAAAATATAACTTCACCTCAAATCATTTTTACTTCTTTTGGCTTTCCAAAAATCACCCAAAGGAAAAAAAAAATCCCAAGCATTATGAAACAAGGAGTCTTAGCCAGCATGACACCAATGTGACTGCGCATTGCATTAACAAAATAATGCTGTGATCTGCAGAGGGGCCTATCTCTTCAGGAGCCATTTGACAATGCAGATTAACCTGAATCCTTTTCTTAGCAAAACAAATGACACTCACTATTTTAAAAGTGTAGAGAATACTCTGCAAGTGACTTTTGGAGTTCTTCTCCCCATCCTTTAAAGCCTTCCAAACATCCACAGCCACTCCTAGAGTCCACAAGGAGTAAGGGAACAGATAGATCCTCCTTTACTCCAAGTGAGCTACAGTTAAAGCAAAAGTTTATGCTGTACGCCTTAAGCAAAAGTAGGCAAAAAACACACTTAATGGATCAAAGTGTTCCCAGGCCAGCATTACACCTCCATACAGAAATGGAGTTCATGTCAGTTTAGATTTTGTTATTTCTGGATTTGCATTATGTGGATTAAGGCTTTGGTACAGAATTGGCAACAAAGAAAAAAGGGGACTCATTTATTTGATTTTTACAAAAAAAATTGAGATTCAAAATTTGTGAATGTGCGTGACTACTACTACACTGTAACTACAGTACAAAGCTAAATATTATACATGTTGAGCCTAAAGATCCTTATTATGAATTCCAGCACAGTGCTTTGACCACAAGGTTACAAAATTCCAAGTGGCCTAAATTTCTGCTTCAAGTTTCCCTTTTTTACATTACAGTTTCACAGTGGAGAATATGAATCAAGGTGACAAATGGGTGACAGTTATTTCCAGTTCATAAAAGATCACTGAGCTGGAACAAAATTCCTTGGCCATTTAGTCCTCCTGATGTTTTTATTGATGAGATTACATTACTGAATTCCTTTTTGAATTTGATGAGTATTCACTTTAAAATGATAGACTACTTCATTAACTAGAAACCTTCTCTCATTCCAAATCTATGTAAATTCACAGTTTCTAGCCATTTCCTCTTGTGACAAAGTTACTTGTCTCTTTTTTTGTATATTTCTGCTCTAGCAACAGAGGAAATATCCTCCTCCTTTGCTATTGCTAAGCCAATAAGATATATCTGAGCAAGTCACACTTCTTGCTAGGGTCCTCACACCCAGCACTGTGTACGTTGAGCCTTCATTTCAGGCAGAACCATTAGGCACTACAAATGCAAACACCAACAGCTGCAACAGCTTATGGCACCACTGAAACATGGTACATTTGCAAAAACAATGTTCAAACTATTTAACTACTCATGAAAAATTCCTGTGATCCATACTGGAATACTGTTTTCTTGCTTATACATTCCCATATAATCCCCATGACCTAAATGTAATTGGTTACTCTAGGTCTCATTTGGCTACTGCAGGAGTCAAAGATGACAAGGAAGAAAAAAAAGTTAACAAGTTCTGTTATGCGTAGCTGAAAAAGAAACTAAGTCAAAAGAGCAGCAAAGAAGCCATGACTGACCATGGCTTTTGTAACAATGAAGTTCCACGGATTCCAGGAAGGTCTCAAGGAAAAATACGTAATTTTATTTTGACTACGTCTGTTTGGCAAACCTTTACAGACAAAACAATTCTAATAGGATGAACTGCAGAGTGATTGTTTCCTTGGGCGAACCTCCAAGTGAGCGAGAGCTCGTGGATTTTTCCTCTCAGGTTGGCATGCAATAGACAGTGACCATCAGCACATCGTGGCCTGAATAATAAGCAAACTCCAAACTGGAAAGCTGTTCTCAAGCACGAAAATAAATCCTAGGTACTGTAGGGAGCCATAGCAAGTACAAAACCCAGTGACAAATAACACAGAAAAAAAAAGATGTTTGAAATAAATCAAAGAAATTAAGGAATTCAAATTTTATTATGA